AAATTATGTTAATTCTATATTGTTTATTTTTTCTTTTATCTTATTTGTATTAATTAACATATTATATTATTAAAGGATTTGTTTTAATTATATTATGAAATTTTGTAATTGACTAACTCTTTAAGATATCATTTCTGGTCATTTTACATTTTTCATCTAGTTTATCAACTAGTTTTTGTCAAACGTAATTTATTTATTAGTTAGCTTATCGTCAACTAGTTTATCCAACCATTAGTTAACTTATCAGATAGTTTGTCAATCATAGACTTAACATTTCTAATTTTTTAAAAGAATCAAAAGTAATTTTTTTAATAAAAATTTATATTTAACTCCAACAAATTATTTCTTGTAAAACTTTCAACATTAATTAATAATTATATTATTACAATATTCTATGATTTTAATATTCTTTTAAAAAAGTATTTAAAATAGTAATAATTTGATCTTATTGATGAGAATGAATTAAAAAATCATTGTTTTTCTTCATACATCAAGTTTTAAAAAATTATCTAAACTTGAAATTTGTTTTAATGTTTTCCTTTTTTTGAGAAAGATTGTTGGAGCATAGAGAATAAAATAAGTATTGTTGTATTTTAAAAAATCTTTTAGAAATTTCTATTAATCAAACTAAACAATTTTAAATTAATATAGAATTTGGGGAGTTGTCAATTGAATAATCCTTTTAATATTTTCACTTCAATAGAAATGAAAGTTGAAATTCGTGATTTTGTTTATTTTATATATTAACTCTGTTTTTAATTCATAATTAGAAGAAATTAAGACGTGTATAATCACAATTAGGAAATAAATATTTTGGCAAAGATGTCTTAGAAAATCACTGGATTTAATAGACTCATTGACCGTTTACCAAACACTTATCCGGGTAAGCGCTTACTAAGTCATATTAATTTACCAGATTAATATGGAAAGGAACAAGAATCTTACCCGGCAAGTGAGGAAAATGACTATTACCATGGTTAGCGCTTACCGGATAAATTGTTGCATACGATGCCGTTTTTGTTGACTAAAATCTTAGCCGGTAAGTAAGTAACAGTGTTGAATTTTATTGGTAAGTGCTTACCGGGTAAGTGTTTGGTAAACGATCCCTTAATTAATTTAAATATGAAATAAAGTATCTCATCCAAATATTATTAAAATAAGGAGACTTTCATTTCAGATATTTTCAAATCCACTTTTATATACAAATCATATTTAACTTTAAGTTAATATAAAACCATTTAATGATTTAAATTCGGTAAATTTGACTAAATAATATAAATAAAAATGCATTGTAGGTAATTTCATAAATCCCTCTCTCCTCTTTTCTCTCCTTTCTCATCTCTTCTATGATTCTATCTCCATCGAAAAATATAATATCCCCATACAACATGCACAATAAAAGGATATGATGTGTGCACAATAACATTGACACTATGTGTACACTTAGTTGGTGTATACATTATGATACATTTGGTTCATAGTGTGATAGTATCACAGTATGTCCATATACCTAACAGTATAAACTTATTGTTTTAGCATATCTGTAAGGTCAATACCATATGCTCTTTCTTTGAAGCCTTATTATTTTAGTGTGCTCACTCTTTGTTACTTGGAATCTTATTATTTTGGGAAAATTGCACCAAAATGGAACCAACTTTCACCTATTTTTTATTTTGAGGAACCAATTTTCAAAATCGTTATTTTGGGGAACCGACTGCACCTGATTCCTATTTTGAGGAATCAACTTTCAAAATCGTCATTTTAGGGAACCAACTTGCACCTGATTCCTATTTTGGGAAACCAACATTCAAAATAATTATAGAAAAATAACTAAAATTCGTTTTTTTTCCAAAAATTAATGCAATAAAATCTATTTTTTATTTCAAATCTCGTTTTTTTAATTCAATTATCAAATTGAACATTTAAAAAAAATCCAAATTACCACAATCAAAATTATTTTTTACTAATGCAAAAAAATCAATTTAATAGAAAAAATTAATTGATGCAATAAAAAATAATATTAGGAAAAATTGCACCAAAATGGAACCAAATGGAACCAACTTTCACCTGATGCCTATTTTGGGGAAATGAAAAATAGATTTTATTGCATTAATTTTTGAAAAAAAACGAATTTTAGTTATTTTTCTATAATTATTTTGCAAGTTGGTTCCCCAAAATAGGAATCAGGTGCAAGTTGGTTCCGCAAAATGACGATTTTGAAAGTTGGTTCCCAAAATAGGAATTAGATGAAAGTTGGTTCTCCAAAATGACGATTTTGAAAGTTGGTTTCCAAAATAGGAATTAAGTGAGAGTTGGTTCCATTTTGGTGCAATTTTCCCTATTGTTTTAGTTTATATCGTGCATATAATACGGTAACGGTTTCTCTTACGCGAATGAAGATGAGAGGGATGAAGTAGTAAGAAAAAGAAGGAGCAATTACAATTGAGAGAGAGAGGAGATTTATAATGATATTAAGTGACTTTCTTAAAACATCAGTTTAATTAATTGTTATTAATTATTAAATTAATTAACTTTTTATGTTTAGTTAATAAATCAACTTTTTATGTTTAGTTAATAAATCAACTCAATCAAATGAAATGAGTGCACTAAAATGTATCTCCTTAATCTTACAATTTTTGAGTTTTCAAATGCTTAAACCGCATAAAAATAAAAGCTGCTTAATAATTCTCGGAAATGTATTTAATTAATTTGAATGTTGTTGAATAGCATTTATACTTAGCATCTTCAATAAATTCTCTAAAATAAAGAAAATGTAAGTTTTGTTCTATATTTTTCCCCAACAAATTTTTTATATTTTTCTTTAAAATAGAAAAAAAAAACTTAAGAAATCTCCAAGTTTAAAAGATTCTCTAAGACTTGATAGAAAGATAGAGTCATAAAGAAATGATTTTTTCAACACAATTCATAAAACATTAAATACAAATTATTAATACATATAATATTTTTCAGTTTATAGATATTTCTATTTTGCTCTTTTTTAAATGTTAAAAATAGAGGTTTTAAAA